ACAGTGAATACAGATCCTGCCTCATGGAGCGTACCTTCTAGTGGGAGAAGCCAAAGAATGAACAAACAAATTACATGTTATGGCAAGTGGTGATAAGCGGAGGATAAGCTATGTGGATGGGTATGGTGGTAATCTATTTTATATGTACAGTTAGTAGTCAGTCAAGGAAAGTCTCTCTGACCAAGTGGCATTACAGCAGAGAATTAAAGAAAAGTGAGGGAACCAGCCATGTGGCTATCTGGGGGACATCATTCCAGACAGAGGCAAGGGCAGATGCAAAGACCTGCGGAAGAGAACAAGCTTAGTGTATTCACGGAACAGCAATGCAGCCATGGCCGAGGAGTACTGGGGCCTAGAAATCACCGCAAGGGCTCTGGATGTTACTCTGAATGAAACTATTGTAGAGCTTTGAACAAACTGAGATCTGAGTTATGCTCTTAAGGGATCACTATAGTTGTTCAATTGAAAATAAGACTATAGAAGCAGAGAGACCAGTGAGAAGCTATTGTGATAATCCAGGTGATGAATGAATAAAGGCTATTTGTACCAGGGTGGCAGTGACAGCAGGTGTTGAGAAATATGAGATTCTGAGGTAACTCTGAAGACAGAGGCAACAGAATTTGCCAACGCCCTAGATGAGGGACGTGAGATCAGTAGAGGAATTAGAGATGATGCCAAAAATTTGGTTGGGCTAATGGGAAAATACAGTTGCCATTTATTAAGAGGGAGAAGGAAGTTTGGGGGAGAAAGTTGGTCTCATGTTGGATATGTCAGTTTGATATGTCTATCAGAGAGCCAAGTGGAGAGGTCGAGTCAACTGGTGGATATATACACATCTGGAGTCTGGGCTAGGGAGTTAGTNGTATTTTTATGGAATCTTTCGCTGTAAAGAAGAATATTGCCCCTTAGACTCTATTAATGGCACTCATAGCAGATGTCATTACTAGTGGGTGCAACGTGACAATCCCTGAAACCTGAAGACTGAAGCGCTCTGGAAAACTTCTGCGCTCCCATCAAACATTACTTAGATGCGTTACACCAGACAGACAAGAAGGAAATGGAGCACACCAGTCCTCAAAGATGAACGGGAATGAAAACACAACATACCAAAAGCACTTCCTTTTCGCTGCACTCGTTCCTTCATCTGGTTTGGATTTGTTCGGCCGCTTCCGAGTCTCGCCGATTTCTGCCGACACCATCTTGCTGGAGGCAGCCTGCATACCTGACCAGTAATGTTAACAACTCAGTGTCTACTATCAGAATTAAGCTTAATTCAAGAAATTATAAGTAATTTGAATTGCAGAAAGAGCTGCAATCTAAAGCTGTACATTTAAATTTCTTAAGATAGCAAAAATTAATATCGTTAAAATGAGATTCATCTCAAATTTACAGATTTAAAACAATAAGCATTCTGGCTCTGGAACCAGATTTTTACAGCGCCAAGGTCCAATTTGTAAACTCTGAGGCTGACAGGTTCAAACCTAGCCCTCCCCAGACCTAATGATTCATCCCCTGTGCTCGTTATTTGCATTTGACCCCTTGTCATGTCATAACCTTTTTGATGGAAAAGCTTCTTTCTTATTCAATTGTACCCACAACAGCCCTACCATAATGCTCTGGATTGTAATAAAATAAAAATTAATGACAATCATTCTTAAAAACTATTTTTAAAAAATGGACCTAAAACTGGAAGCAAAGATGTGGAGGTCTAGATACCTCCTAAAGACCTAACGTATCCCCATAAACACAAAACATGTTTTTATCTGGGGCCCAGGGGCCCATGGAATTCAGGGTCAAGTATATCAAATGCTGCGTGGTTATGTGTTCTTTTTTGGGGGGCTCATAAGATATACTGTGTTCATTATTGAGGGGAGAGGTTCAACAGCTCATCAGATTCTTAGAGGTCTACAACCCAAAAAAGCTGAAGAACTGCACTCTGCTAGCAGCTGGAACAGCTGGGCTCAGGGGTGCCTGCTGACCACACTAAGGCGTCCTCACTCTCACCTCTGAGGACGGAATCCTCCAGGCGCTCAGCCATCTCGTGGCACTGCTGCTGGTAGTCGGGGCTGGTGAAGCAGTGCCTGGGTTCCGCGAGCTTCCGCTGCAGTCGCTCTAGGCGCTTCTGCTCCTTTTCAGCCTCTCGCTCAGCTTGTTGTTTGACCCATTCGGCCATTCTGGGGATGGGGGAGAGAGAGAGGTGTAACTGAGTGGATATATTACACATGCATTTAAATATATATAAAATGCCCCCCGCCCCAACAAATTAGTGCACTCTTGCCCGTATTGTGTTATTCCCTCAGAAAGGTGTGCTCACTACTAGCACAGTATAACGGACTTAACTAAAACTCAAAGATAACTATTAAATTATGGAAAAGATTAATTCTGATAACAATGAACCAGAGCGCAAA